CCCCCCCCAACGTTCTTATTAGCTCTTCTAAAACTGAAATTCAACAGCCACAATTGAATGTCATAATGAGGATGCAAATGCTATTAAAAAGCACTATCACTATCACTCATTCCTCTTTTACCTATTTAGGATGACTGGTCGAAATCATAGCGGGGTTACACGCACACTTTCGAAACGTTGGAACAAATACAAATTTGGAAGAACGGTATATTTAATTTCGCCTTTACGAATACATTTCCAAATGTTTCCAGTGTGACAAACGGTTGAGAAGAGAAATACCCCCACCCCCCACCCTCACCGCCACCCCCTTTAAATATGGATACAGACAACGAGCACGTTAGCATCTTTACTCAGGTTAGTGCTACTTCATTTACAGCACGTAGCAGGTTTTGCCAATACTTTAGGCTTATAGCGCAGGGAAAAAAATCTCCTCCAGAATGGTAAAATCGGTTACATTGCTGCTTAAATGAGAAGAAGAAAAAACTGCTATCCAATTTTTTTGTTTTGTTTTGCTTTTCAGATATTATGCCTACCCGATGGAAGCAGACAAAGCACCCCGGCCCTGTGACCCCGAAAAGACCCTAGGAAGATCTTTCAGATTCCCAATACTAATGAGTGTAGATAGCAAAAACCATATTCACTTCAGGAGGAACGTAGCTAAAAATAGGAAGACATGGGCTCTCATGGAATGCGGAGATGGGCCTGGAGAGCGATGCCGGCATGTCATCTGCAAAGGAGGCGGACATGTGTTAAATGGACGGTGCATTTTTGAGAGACATTTCTTTTTTGGTGTAAACACACCATTCCATATGCCAGCTAACAAACGTAGAGTCTATAATCAAGCCAGGGAGAACATGGAAACGCCTTTCAATACCCGATTTATTGAGTTCATGAAGTGTGCGTTGCCTTACAAGTGGCAACCAGCTGAGATCCATGAGTTCAAACGTTATGAGGAAGGCGAAGAAACGTTTCCAAAGACGGAATTGGTAAAGGCAAGGGAAATAAAGAACTTTGAACGATTTATTGTTAAAGGCGTGTTCCCCCAAACGGTCAGCGGATACACACATTTATTCCAAGAAGCTGTAGCTTTCTACTTGGAGTACTTTGACTACGCATCGGGTTATCCAGAATTACGATATAATTCTTATTCTTCAAATGTGAAGACTCCACCACCTGAACTGGAAAGCAATTTTATGGACACCAATTGTTCAAACTCGTATAATAAAAATTTCAGCTGCTCGAATGGTGAATTGCCGGAAACAACGGGATTCGTACAAGAAGGGAGGAATTGCTCAAGTACAATTAATTTGTTGCAATGGAGCAAAACTCCATCATCCTGCATCTTGTATAACACTGGATTAATAGCGATTAGTTATGCTCAACAAATAGAATTGAGGTCCGTACACAGTTCGGCAACAGATTTTACCTTTTGCGTCTCCGGTGAGACTTCCATAGCTTCTCACGAGATCTTTTATTTTGTTTTCGTGTTTGTGTTACTTGCCGTCAAAACATGTCAACGGTAACTTTGAGAGTTCCTCAAAAGTGTCGGTTCACAAACAGTTTGCTTGGAACAAGGGCACACAGTTTCTATAATCAATTCGTGTGAGATTCATTTTTTTAATAATGTGAATACAGCTGCTTTACTGCCCTAAACCTAGAGTCGCAAGAAAAGACTGAACATTACGTGCACACCTTGTGCCTCCGGGTGCAGAGTAAACAAGGTCGGCACCATGCTTTGGACGGACGTCTCAGGTATGATGGCTGAGCACGTCACACACAGAAAACATGAGTTCGATTCTTATGTTGGGAGAATTTTTATCGAGTATCTCGGTCTTTCTGCGAGGACGATTAAAAAAAAAATTCCTCTAAGCCCTCGTCGACTCTAAACCCGCCTTTTAATTCAATGATCTAAATGTGTCCGTGAGCGCGTAAAAACACCTACATGTTCAATCAAAAGTTTCAATCTGGTCTAGCAGTACGGCTGACAAGTGGAGTCTTTGGTTGTAACAGCGTGTGACTCAACACTCTCAGAACATTGGGATGGCTTTGGTCGGATTGTCTCTCTAGGCTGCTGAACACCCTCCGGGTTTTCACTGTCAAAAATATACATGTACTTCATAGTGGACCTTGGTCTAGTTATTGTAATAGTTTTACGGCACTTACAACACAATAAGATCATACAGATGCCGAAGATTAAATGTTTTACTTGAGAGCAACATGCAAAGAAAAGGAGGAGTGATAAGGACGTTTGAATATAATGTTTGATAGGAAATAATAAGGAGTAAACCACTCTAGAGCACCCACCAACCGCTTTGAATGAAAAGGAAAACATTTTTTAAAACGTCACTATTTAATGCTGAAAACGAAATAAATGTTTATGTAGCTCTATGATTTCGACAGTGTTGCTTTGCTTAATGAGGGTCAATAAGTACATATTTCTGGCGTCTTGTTTCTCTGAGACTTGTATACAGTCTCCAGCTTAGTTCCTGGATAACAATAGGATAACAGTAGGTCATCCCTGGCGTCACTGGCCTCATGGAAATCTCACAGACTCACCATGTTGCACTTACAACAAAGTACAGGTATTATCGGCCAGCAGCCGCTCTGTATGCAGTCGGCGAAAAAGTATGCATTAAAAAGTGGCTACAAATAAGACACGTTGAGCTTTTAAACTTTTTCCATACCTGCAAACATCCACACACACACACAC